AGCTTGGTCTGTCCTAGCTATATCTGTTAATGGCTCCTGAGCTCCCCTTCTGATCACTGTTACCCAAGTTCAGTGACCCCTCTTCCTGGGTGGTCACATAGGACATTCAGAATAAGTGCAGTAGGCCAAGGGTTGAGTTCCCTGAGGAACATCTGCACCAGACAGAAGGTTCTAGTATGACGAGGGAGGGATGAATCTCACCACCAGTGAGAAACTGAGAAATGTTGGGTGGAGATACAGAAAGGGCACCGTGGGTGGGGAAAAACTCACCAGCCTGGGCCAGAGCAGTGAGGTTAGGAGTGGGAGCAAATTCCTTGGGAACACTGTAGGGAGGAGGACAGGGTGGTCAAAGGCACATGTGCACCGAGATCAGGGTGGCAGACATGACGCTGACCACAGCTGCTTTCTGAAGTTGCCCCAGCTGCCGCAGCGGGGCGAGAAGGTCTGCGTGCAGCAGTCAGAAACAGGGAGACTGGCTGGCCTCCCAACACACTCGTCCTCTGGGAAGATTCAGTGTCGGTTGGTGGACTGACTCAGGCAGAGGATGCATTATTTATGATTATTTATTATTTAACAGAGAGAGGTGACTGTGGAGCTCACCCTTTGTCACGTTTAGAATTACCATGACATTTAGAGTTATCCTGACACCTGGAGAACGTACAGGAAATGGTAAGGGGACCCTCTGCAGGAGCGTGCTGTCTTTCTGGAAGGCTTTAAACATCCACAGAGGATCCCAAAGAGTTAGGCACATCTGTATCCACGAAAGGAGGACGAGGCCTCGAATATCACTGACATGTGTATTCCCGTGGATTTATAGAGCGCACCCTTCCCTCCCTGGGTGCACATCTGATTACAGCTGAGCTCTTCTCCATCATAGACATGCCAAACGATCCACAGATGGGCATGAATACAGAGGAGCTGCTTCTAGTACCTCTCTATGACTTACAGAGTTTCTTAGAATCGCAGTCATATTTATGTGCACAAAAAAAAAATGTTAGCTCCCACACATGTAGATACAGAACTGGGGCTGCAGCTGCTTTCTCGCGGGTCAGGGAGTCAGCTGCGTACTGTTGTCTTTGTGTTGTGTCCCCCACTGAGGCCATAAACACATGACCTTCTCCATGTCCTGTCAACACCAATTCAAATGCAACCATGTAGCCGCAAGTATGTGGCACCCACTGCCGCCTGAGACAATAACAGTTCTGGTGCCAGTGGTGACGGCACAGGTCAGGCCTGACAGCGAGCAGAGCAACAAAGCACCGTTGAGAAGGCTCAGTGGAGCATTGCTTCCAGCAGAAATGGAACTGGAACTGGAACTGGAACTGAAAAAGTCAGGGATGGCAGAGTCCTCAGTGGACGAGGTACCGAAGGGGCAGGAACGGTAACCTTCACCTCGCAGAGTCCCACTGTGTGACAGTTGCCTAGAGAGCTTTGATCAGGGTCTTCAGGTTGTGGGGAGATGCCACCAACGCCAAAGCTTTCTTCTTCTCTTCTTCCGCATCCATTCTGCTTCCACTGTTGCTAGACCCAGAAACCTCTAGGAGTGAAGCTGACAACATGGAAACTCCTCAAGCATGGGCATCAGAGAAGAGGCTAAAAGAGCAATTGGTGGGACAGATCACATGATAGGTCTGGCCTTCTCCTTTGGGGTATTCTCTGCCATTGATGATCCCAAACCTGTGGCCCCGACTCAGGGGAAAAAAAATCCAGTCAGAGACTGAATCTCACAGTAAAGCAAGGCCAACTCAGTCACCCACTAAAGTCACATGGCCGGCCTCCATGTGATAATAGGAGAAAGGGGGGAGGGGCATTAAGGCAAAATCATCTCTCATGACTCACTCCTAAAGACAAACAAAGGTAGTCGATACTCTGTTACCCTAGGCACCTCTGGTTGTCAGAGTTTGTTGACTTCCTTCCAGCTATCCAGTCAGTACTGAACACCAAGAATGGTGCTAAGGGCTCCTGGCAAACCCCACAGGTCTAGACACACTTTGTCTGCAGTATGCCCTGATTGGGATGCTCATGTCTCAGTAATTAAAATGGCTCGTGCTGTTCCACAGTCACCACATTCTCTCCATTCTCCCTCAGTGCCAGGAGCTGCTGAGGGGCCAGGGAAACCCAAGAGCCATGGTGGCTTCTTCTACTCTGGCACAGTAGGCTCTTCAGACCCTCCATGTTCAGCAGTGACATTAAAATTCAATAGGCAGGTCAGGGGATGGAGATGAATGAAGGGCCACTTTCCTGCAGGCGCAGAGGCTGGACCATGCACAGGGACTTCATGGAAGGCAGCTCTGGGTGTGGGTAACTGGTGTGAGGCATGCATGTGTCCTGCAGGGCAGCAATAGCCCCACTGGGACCAGGACTCCAGAAGCCACTTCCAGGCACAGCAGAGCTGCACATCTGGTAGACAGGGTACACAGGATGTCAGTTAGTTGGGTGGCCGAGAGCCCATTAAGGCAACTACTTTGCTGTTCAATAAATTCTTCAGGAAAGAAGGCCCTGGGCAGGATGGAGCTGTTCCTTCTCTATGGAGGGAAGTATACAACTAAGGATAATGGTGATGATGAGGGTGTTCATGATGTAGAAATCATGATGAAAAATATCTGCATTTGAATAAATGTGAGGAGAAATTGCCTTCTGTAAGGAAGGCGACTCCTACTCACAGACTGCTAAATTATGGCTAAACACAGCCATGATGGACCGTGTGGCTTAGGCATGTGACTCCATGATCAAAGCCCTTCACTGTGTGCACCTAGCATTTGGGTCCCTCAAGCTCATAGACATAAGCATCTCCACATTGTGTCCCATGCCAATTGTGGTTTGGGTAGAGTGTGGGCATGTCACCCAGGGTTCGTGTGTTGAAGCTTGGTTCCTCCATGTGACACTGTAGAGGTGTCACGGCTCCTTTAAGAGGAGACAATGCCCTGTGGGAAGTCATTAGGTAGTGGGAGCCAGGGTTTTGGAGTCCATATAGTTAGTTCTTGCTGGAGGACGGCTGGAGGACAGGATTGTTGACTTTGTTCCAGTCTCTGACTTTTTGTCTTTCAGTTTAATTTTCTCTTTCCCATACAATCCTGACATTGTAATTCTGTATACACTGAAACCTACAAGAAGAAGCCAGCATCATTGTTCCTTTCAAACTGTGAGCTAAGCAAACGTCTTTGCTTTACAAGTCACTCAGACTCAGGCATGTTGTGATAGCAACAGAACTCAGGCTGATATACCAACTTTCCTGAGATCTCTTCATCCCTGTTCTTCAATCTCATGCTCCCCAAATACTCAGCCAGCTTCATTAATCACGGTCCACATGCCAAAGGTTTCTTCCACAGAATAGATGGCACTGCTTGCAAAATTGACACTTTCAGAAGTCCGAGGGTACATCCCCAATGGGACTTTCCCTTCACCGTGGGCTCCGAGGCCTCCCCTGGAGAGCTATGATGGAGCCAGCACTGTAAGAGGCTTTCCCATCGATCTCACTTTGTACTTACCTGCTGTCAGAAGATGACAAAGAGCCCAGCTGAAGCAGAGGTGTGGGTGCAGAGAGAGTGGTCCTCCTTAGAGGGGCAAGTCCAGAGGTGCTCAGACCCAGCCCTGTCGGCCCTTTCCAGTTTATATACCCTGTTCACGTGTTAAGCAAATCCCACACTATATGCTGGGTGGATAAGACACATTTAAGAACTCCATTCAGACTGTAGATTTGGTGTTCTGTGCTCGGGTTGCCAGTCGCACTGGCAAGTGAGAGCTCGGTGGTGTTTAAGTGACTACTACCCCATGTGGAAAAGAGAGATACTTGTCCAAATGCAGGGGCCCCGGAGCTCCCCTGACCCAAAATGAGCCCTGAAATCACTACTGCTTCTCTAGCCCCTGTCCTCAAAACTCAGAAGACAGCATCTCCTAGGGGTTGCAACATCCCCACCCTGACACCAGCTTAGGCAGATTGGAATAGAGTCTCCCCATTGAGTCAGAGATATGTGAGTGGCTCTCCCAGGCCCTGGGGTGAAATTTCAGCAAGTTCTGACCAGCATGACCACACATGGCTTATCTGATTCTCTTTAAGCCAGGCTTATACCCTCTCCAGGCAGGCAATACCACAGCCATGGCCGATAGGGAACGGCTATTCTGGTCACCTGCCAGGCTACCATTACCCAGTATTTCCTGAACATAGACCCCATGATCCTATGCACCTATGGTATCTGCAATTCTTTCTTTTAAAAAGTCCCATTCAAGTCACAGGGTGGTCTTCGGTCCTGGACGTCCACTGACGTGCCGACTTGGCACCAGGACCTGCAAAGCCTGTCTTCAACTGTAGGTCCTGAACCTCAGGAGGGTCCACGAGTCCCCTAGCAGAGAGGGCCGAAGGGTTGAAGGGCAGAGGTGTGAAAACCAGAGCTCACCATGTGGTGCATTCTGACATGTGTGAGCACTACAGGAAGGGAGCTGAGGAGGCTATTGGTGTTCAGTGTGAAGCAAAGGCAGCAAAGGCATCCTCTCGGAAGAGGGACTCAGTAGCCTTGAAGTTAATAACCTGGCATTCAACAATAGAAAGAACTAGTCTTCTGAGATTTTACCAGGCCTTGTTCCAGTCCTGGTGTCAGGGGGTCTGGGTCTGTCCCAGGCAGGTATAAGGAAATCAGAGGACTGTTCAGGCAGGTGTAGGGAGTCAGTCTGTCCATACAGGTATAAGAGAATCAGGGTCTATCCAGGCAGGTATAAGAGAATTAGGGTCTATCCAGGCAGGTATAAGAGAATTAGGGTCTATCCAGGCAGCTGTAAGGGAATCAGGGTCTATCCAGGCTGGTATAAGGGAATCAGGACGGATCCTGGGCAGGTGTAAGGGTCAGAGTCTGTTCCTGTATCCTGACACAGCACGCCATGCACTTGCCTCCCTCTGGAATCTTTTGAATCCCAAAGTCTGCAGTCGACACACTTTTGCAGCCTAAAATGGTGATGGGAGTCTCAGCCAGAAAACATGCTGGTTTTAAAATATTTATTGATTAAAAAAAACTTTAAAATCTTATACAAAGATGATGAGAAAAATCTCATGCAAACTCTGGGCATACAATAAAAATAACTCAAATAGTAATATGATGATTTTGTACAAAATAATTCTTTTTAAGAAGAACCTCTAACAGCCGGCGTGGCTCCCTTCCGCTGGTCGGGACACACTTTCAGAGAAGCCGGTCACACTTAGCCACCTGCAGATGATCACGACCCACAAGGGTGTCAAATGTCTGGTTGTCACTGTGATGAATAAGGGGACCCATTTCTACTACTCAGGAAACAAGGGGCCTCGATCTAGGAACACCACGGGAGGCCTGCACAAAGGGGGTGACTCACAACACTCTCGGGGAAGTTCTAGACAGTCCTTCTGAGCGGAAGCAGCACCTCGAGATGATGACGAACATTTCCTGCTTCTTCATTGCCACAAACCCGCAGTGGGTTTATAATTTGTGTATATTACAAGTAATTTGCATAATTAAAACACTTAAGGACTCGACATCTCATGGCAATTAGAAATGCATCAAACTGGGAACAATGTACAAAAGAGGGAGCTTCAATATGAAACAGTAATTCTCTGAGAACATCCGGTGCCCTGGCCGCCTGGGCTGTGCAGAGCAGCCGGCCACCGCCACCTCCTGTCTCTCTCCTCATGCACACACTCAGCTGCCCGTTGTCATATTGCGATGTGCAGACTCATCTCATTTTCCGGAGCCTGAGTCTGTTTTCCTTGTCCCGTTTCTTTAGAATAAGTATGAACTGGTTGAAAAAGTGCTCCTGATCCTTCCGCTTCTGAACAAGCCGAAACCTCTGATCCCGGCCATACTTCTCAGCAAACTCTTTAAATGTGGTCCTGAAAGATAAAGGGAGTTCTGAGACATCTTCCCAGAAAAGGAGGTGTGTTTTCCCTCAACAGGACAAACGAGCTCCCTGGGACAGGACTCCTGCAGGCCAACAGGCTGAGAGGGACTGGGTCCTGATTTCACTCCCGCGTACATCTTTGGCCTCAGGAGCCCTGTCTCGAATGTTATGGTAGTCATGCATGCCTCTGCTCTGTCTGCTCTCACTGAACTTCCTCCTACTACGGGACATCACACATACTTGTACTGTGTGACAAAGCCTCCCCCTCCCCTTCTCCTAGTAGGTACCCACTCTTCCTTGGGAGGAACCCTGGTCTTCTTTGGGAAGCTAGTGTCCTCTAGAGACTCAGAGAGTGATGAAGCACTCTTTCTGGTCCCTTAACATGGAATGTAACTGAACCTTCCTGTCCTGGGGTAGAGACACTGCTATTTGCTTGGCTCTCTACTCTCTGCTGACACTGAGTATCAAACCATGGCCAGCAGGTAGGAAGTGTTTGGTTCTCCATGCAGCAAACATCCTGTCTCCAGATCAGGGATCCTCTGGGAAACCCCAGAGGCCATCCCTACCTGATCAGTGCAGACGGATCTACCACCCATGGAAACTTAAGGTCTTCGGAGCTACCCCAGAACCTGGAGAGGCTGGGGTTCCAACCTGCCCAGCTCCAACATGGAGCTTCCAGGAGTGACGGGTTCAGACTGGCCAAGAGCCCGGGATCTAGCATTAGTCAACCAGCCCTCCGCCCGGTCACAGCTGTTCTGTGTCTGTCACCCAGAGTCCCCACCAACCAACCAGAGGATGGTTGACTGTGAGCACCCAGTGTGCATAGAAAATCTCTCTTTGTTCAGGAAACCATTGTTTTCTTGCTCAATTGTCTTTATAGAGAAGTTTACATTTTCCTCCACATGTGTAATTATTGTTAAACTATTGCAGCTTTCAGTCTTTTGCACACAGAGCACAAGAACACATGGGTGTGGCTGTTAAAAGAACGGTCCTAGGACTTGGATCTGCATTGTCTTCGTTCCATCCTCACCCAGCGGCTAGCTCCCTGCTCTGCCCATAGGAAGCACTTGCTTAATGGGTTCTCTGAAAGGAAAGTGTCTTTCTCTGGCTTCCCTCTTCTTCACTTCCTCTTTCCCTCTCCATTCCCACGTCCCTGCTTCTTCCTCTAGTCGGGTAATAGCTGTGCTAGCCTCCCACTTTTGTTAAGGCCTCTTCCGGGTTGACAGGCCCACGATGTTCCCACCTAGACCACCTTTGCGGCATCTCTGCAGAGAAACATCATGGAAGAGGAGGAGAATGACAGCTATATCTCAGCTATGTTAAGGGGTGGTGCTGGTTTTCTGCTGGTTCTGGGGAGTTCAGAAGGTTGTCAGAGAGATGGTCATACATCTGTGGCCACACTTAGATGGCACCAGCCTTCCCTGTGCCCACACAGGTATATCCGATCAGGGAGGAATGTATGCTAAGTTATCCAAGTACATGAGATTGGCCCCTTGCTGCCCTGGTCTCGCAGGTTCTCAGGAGGGACTTGAGATGGACCATCAGAGTCAGCGTGAACAGTAGCCAAGAGCACTAGAGGCCAGAGCAGCTACTGCTGAAAACACCCAAAAGAGCCTGGGCTAAGCCCACCCCAAGACTGACATGTCTACCTCTTAGGAGAACAAGGTGACCGTGAGGGAAGAGAAAAGGGACATCCTAGAAGCAGATCTGGCTTCCTTAAAGGTTATAAACAGCTTTCTAATTATGAAAGTAATATATGCCCAGTGTGCATTAAAATATTTAAATATATTCTGTTGTGGCAGCCTTTTACTGTCTGTGTGTTTCCCACAAGTCACTCTGTATCCCTTAAACACACAACATTTACCTACAGCACAGCTGAAGAGGAAATCTAGTATTTAAATAAGAGTTCAAGCCCATTTGATTTCTCTTACCCATGTTCTGTGTGTGTCTGTATGATGTGTTGGGAATGTATTGTGTGATATTTATGTAATGAGGTATATGGTATGTGTTTGTGTGTAACGAGGAGAAGGTGATTAGATGTGTTGTGTGTATATATTTGTTGTGGGCTGTGTGGGTGTGTGATGTGTGTGGTGGGGTATACAGGATTGGTATGTGTATGTGTAGTGAGTTGTGTGGATGCTATTGTAAGATGTAGGGCACATGTTGAGTGTGCTACGTGTATATGTGTGCTATGGGGTATGGTGTGTGTGTTTGTGGTGTGTGTGACACGTGAGGTGTGTGTATAATGTGTGCAATGGGTGTGTATGTGTGAGTTGTACGTGAGATTTTTCTCCAATAAGGTACACCCTATGTCCCGTCTATCTTCAGGACACATTGTGGGGTTTCAGGATTGACAGTAGCGCCTACCAGTGAGGAGCAGAGAATATCAGCTAAAGCCTTCAACAGCAAAGCCAGGTGACAGCTAGCACTGTTGAGTGCCTTGGGCTGCTCAGGGAGTAAGGGCCACACTGCAAGACGTCATGCTATCCCCTCCGTCACTTTTCGAGGTCAGTATAGTTACCTCCATTCAGATGGGATCATAAAAGCACATGAATGTCTAGCTCCTTATCCCCGAGTCAGGTCAGGCCAGAACTTAAATAAAGGTTCCAGAAGGAGATTCCAAACCCCTTCTTCTGTGCCTGCCTCCCTCTCATGATCACTCCTGGGTAGACATGCCAGATCAGAACCTGACCCAGTACTTGACGCTCTTTGACTGGAAACCACCCTTACAGATCACTAGGCATACATTTGGTTTTTCCTTGGCATCCCCTGAGGTCCCAGCTGCATTCAGCTCTATCCTCTGGATAGGAAGAATGATTTGGAGAGCAATGTGCAGTCAGTATTAACTGTGCACTCAATTATGAACCAAACACATTCTAGACCATACTATGAATGCCCATGTCTTCGCAGAAAAGAACAACTAACATTCACTTCAAATATAATGTTGCTAGTTACCATTTAAATAAAAATATATAGGCTGGAGCGATGCCTCTATAGTCAAGAGTGCTTACTAATTAGGTGTAAGGACTGGAGTTTGGGCCCCATGTTGCAAGTCAGGTGTAGCCCTGCTCACTTCTATAACCATACCACTGAGAAGACAGAGACAGGAGGACATCTGGATCACAGAGTGGGAGCCGCTGACCTTCAGAAGTCTACAGCAGAAGTACAAAGACTATGGGGGATTTCCCATATCGCACTGTCTGCTAGACTGAGAAGTACCAGTTTCCCAAATGTTTTGCTGTTAACAGGTCTTTCCAGTAAATGTTTCAATGTCTTTGAAATATTAGATGTAATCAAGTAAGCTCTGCAATAATGACACATTTCTGGCCCCAGAAAACACCTGGTGTATGCCTCTTTCCATACCTGGGTGATACTTTAGATTCTTCTAGAAGTTTCTTAAATTCTTCTTTGGCTAACAGCAATTTACTTTTCCTTTCCTTGTATTCTTCTTTTATTCTTGTCTTGACGAACTGTTCGAATATCTTAAAACACATGCATGAAAAAAAACCATCATAAAATTGAATGTGAGAAATGAATCCTATACCTTCAGGCCAGCACAAAAGTGCAGTATCCTGAGGAAAGTGGTTCTTTGTCCTAGCTATAATATCTATAAGAAAAACTCCAGGATTATGATACTATCCACAAGACTGTGGCCTCTAAAGAACAAATCCCAGTTCTCACAAAGTCCAGCTCCCTCCCTCCACACAGTCAACACATCTGGGCCAACTATCAATCAGGAGTCCTGCAACAGAATTGGACAGCTCTGTTGTGCTCCAAAAGTTAGGAACCCTTCATCTGCATCCTATCCTCGCTTTGTACTCTGATGTTTGCAGGGCAAATAACCTACCAGCATTCACATCATCGTCAGAGCATCTACAAGACTCTTAACCTATTATACCCACTTCCTATGGTTCTGTGATTGGCCATGGAATCTCTGAAAATGATAAAAATTTGTAAACTCTGGCATCTCTGAGTCACACGCTCTAGTTTCCAGTAAACCTTACTTCTACGTGTGGGACCTTGAGGCATGAAGAAGGCTCGGGGTCCACCAGGGTCCTCTCTCAAGGATGTCAACGGATATCTAGACTGTACCAACCGTCAGCGTAAAAATTACCAAGGAAGGTACCTGACCAAAAGTGTATTTTGAATAACCAAACAGCAAACCCTGTTCCCAGTCTAGGGCATAAGAGTACTGCCTGGTGTGCAAATCCATTCAACCCTCCAAGCAGTTGTGAAAATAGTGCTGTATTGTCTTCTCTTGGAAATCAGGCGCTGGATAAGACTATGAACCTTCTCTTTGTTACTTCCCGTAGACTGTTCTTTCATTACTGTTGTTTATCTGCCTGTTTCCCTAGTTTGAGACAGGATCTCATGTACTCTAGGCTGACTTTGGACTTGTTATGAGCTTCTGATCCTCTCGCTTCCATCTTCTGAATGCTGGGATTGCAGGTGTATGCCATAGCCCTTGGCATATGCACTGCTAGAAATGCAACCCAGACCGTCACACATGCTGGGCAGGCAAGCATTCCATCAGCTGAGTTACAGGCACATCCCGAATGCTCCTTTTTGTCAGAGGGAGACTATGCATTGCTCAAACATTGGAAAAATTATTGCTTGCAGAATGACCATAAAGTCAAGGATTGGGAAGGACAAAGCTGTTCTAATCATAATGCTACCCAAGCATCCAGAACACTAAAAATTAAACTGAAGATCATTTATTTATGCAAACATAAATAAAACTATCAATAAAAATTCACTTGCAATTTCACCAGTACAGTCCATATCAATCCATGTAAATCTGAGGTGTCTACTGATCCCCAGCAGCCCTGCCAGGTAAGGGAGGGGGAAGGGAAAAGATGGTACCTTAAGCCCATCACTGTCTCTGTTCTAATGCTATCTTACTGCTTTGTATCTTTCTGTTTTGTTTCTGATATTTTAAGAGCGGGAAACAGGGTCTTACTCTGCTGCCCTGGGTGACCTGCAAACTCAATACCCCCGCCTTAGCTTCCTGGTGTTGCTTACAGTCATGCCCCTGACTCAGAGCCCTTCTTTACTAGGGGCCCTTTATACAGGATGTTACACAGGAACTACTGCTTGCCTCTAGAGGACTCAGCAGCACTGAGGTGAAATATTCACCGAGTGCAACTTCAGTTTTGACCGTGTGCATACACATTTAAGTAAGACTACGATTGGCTTATTTTACCTTCAAGGCAAATAGCGAAGTGTGCTCTCCAGCAGACCTCTAATCTAAATAGATAGAAGAAGCAAATGCAGGGCCATTATCCAAATAAAAGCACGTGGCTCCATCATCAGCCAGGTTTTTGCTCTATTCATTTTAAATGTGGACAGAAAGGTTGGCCGGCTGTGGGATCGGAACATAGGAGAAATGCCCACGTACCTCCCTGCCTAGAACCGTTTATCCACCTAATCAAATTATTCCCCTTTCTCTCTCCTTTCCCTCTGTTGCTTTATTTAAGCTGTCATAACTCAACATAGCAGATATATTTCCCCACTAACAAATTACACCAGTTTTACCCAAATTGGAGCACGACTTTTTAAAAGAGAGCACTGGCCGTTATCTCGTTTTCTGTAGGCTCTGGTGTAATAAAATGAAACACTTCTCGTTACCATAGAAACTGGACTGATTAGCACTCCCCTGGCCTGGTTCTGTTTAGGCTCACTCCATCTCCTTTGCAGCCCTGGTAACTTCACACCAGGAGCCTTAGCTTCCCCATGTGAAAACATTGCCACGGGAGGGCTGTGTGTGTTCCATTTGATGCCCGTTCTCCAGTCCATTTGTAATCTGGACTGTGCTTTCTCAGAGAGGCCCAGACGCTGCTCCTTCTTCACAGGCAGTTGCTAGGCCACTGATTGTACCATCGCAGTAGGGACACGAGCATCGGATCGGGATGTTCTCTGGAGGGCCTGGAGCATGAAGACCACAAGGCTGACTCCCTTCCCATTGCAGCACATTAAGACAGTGCTGACATCTCCTTTGGAGATTTCACAGGGACTTCTGAAATTTTTGGCTAAACAATGGACTCTTGGTGTAAGATGATTCAAGATGCAGAAGCCATGCCTAGGCAAGTGCTGACTCCCAAAGCAGGGACAAATGTGACAGCCCTCTCAGGGTGGCATCTGCCCTCTCTGACCAGGGTCTGTGGAAGCCCAGTCTCTAGCTTCCTGGGCTGATCTGATATAGAATGTTCTGCCCTTAGACACCAGGAAGTGGATGATGGTTATTGGCGTCCTGTCTATGAACCAACTCCTTCCTGCCTGGGTGCATGCTCTCCTAGACCTCCTAAGGGATGTCACTTAAGGATCAAATTGAAATTATCGGAGAGTCTCACACTAAACAGGGCTTATATTTTTTTTTTAGCTTCTTCTGAAATAATGCTAGCCTCTAAAAAGTATACATGGCATGCAGAAAGCGACTAGACACACACCAAAAAGAAAGCAAAGCCACCCCTCCCCCCGACACACACACATACAAAATGGCTCTTTGTAAAAACACAGCCTACATGTTTATAGGTAGGCTTGACACATTAGCTGTTTGCAATGGCTCTTCACACACAAGGCGAGGCCGCCTCGGGATCTCATGGCATCTTACAGGGTAGATGAGTTTTCTCTCCTACAAAGTGCAATTGAATTTTTTGCTTTTTAATAATGCAACAAAATGGTGAAATAGTATCAATTATTAAAATCTGAAGTTTTCTTTAGCTATAGGAAAAAAACAAATGTAGCCAAAACTCAGCTCACTAGATTGTGGGCTTAGTGTCCTCACATACTTTAAAGTTTTTCTGTAAAAAGCAAAAACTCTGGGAAAAGAGTCCATCTCAAGTTGCCGAAAGGACAAAGGTGGAGATTCTAGCTGGCCAGTTCAAGGCCCTCCTGTGCTTCCCAGCCTCCCACCCAACCGACTGGAGAAAGAGTTGCTAGTTGTGGAGCAGGAGGGAGACAGGGTCCCTGGCTAGCTGAGACCACCTGGGGGCGTCATTTATACCATCTCAGTGTCTGCTTTAGCCACTGACAGACTGAATATAAAGTTGCATATCAATGACTCGTCCAGGTCGTGATAAGGATCTGTCAGGTCACACATCAGTGGGTTCCTGGAGATCCTTGGCTATGACCCTCCTTTCTGCTAACACTGAGGCTCCGCCTTCTTCTGCCGCTGCGGTGTCTCGGAACATACACGGGGGTGGGAGGGTCTCACTAGAAGTCTAGGCAGATCTGAGACTACAGGTATAACTAACTCTCTGTCCTTACAGTTCTTCCCTTCTGCTTCACAGCCTTAGCTAAGGTGTGGTGCCCTCAGCCCCTCCCTGGCTCCCAATCATTCCTCTGTCTATAGAATCTGGAAAGGGAGAGTTGGCTCTGTGAAGTTCTTTACCATTAAGCCTGAGCAGACCTCTGGCCAGTCATTCTTGTAAAGAGCCTGGTAGTGTCCACTACAGGGCAACCTCGACATTTTCTGGAGCCTGTTTTCTGGAACACTTTTTTCTTTTTGTTGACTCTGTTCCCTGGCCTCTCCTGGTTTTCCAGTAACAATACAACACCTTAGGTATGTGGTGGTGTTGTCCACACATTGAGTGCAGTCATTTGGAATGATCCAGGCTTTGTGCTTCCATCTTAGACTCAGTCATTCCCTGCAGGAGTCACAACCAGGCATAGTACAGAACAGTTCCAGGCCTGAGCCTCCTCTGTCCATGCGGCGACACTCCCAAGCCCTCAGACTGGTAGGGAACTGAGCAGCCTCTCAGTTCCGTTTCCAGCCCCCTTCTCACCTCGCCCCAGCATTACCTGTTTGCGTTCCTCCGAGTTTAGCAGGAGATATCGTGGGTCAAACACAATTTTATGCAGTTCCTTCTCCCACGTAGAAAATGCTGACACCTGGAGAAAGATATTCGATAGAGCTGCTGTTAGCATCCAATACTGAGCCTGGAGTGTGCTGAAATGATCAATGGTTCCAAAAAAAAAAAAAAAGGCAGCATTAAGGTACAATGGATTCAGAGAGGTGTGTTGGGTAAGAGTGGGGGACACATCCACCATGCCATGAAAATCAATATGAAAAACATTAGAAAAATTAATTTCCAGGTGTCCGACACAGTTGCTTCTGGTATCTTTCAGAAGCCTGCCCTGATCCACAAGCCTGGGTTCCTGCAGGACGAGCACAAGGCATTTCACTGTCACGTCCTGAATGGTGAGAGGAGGCTCCTGGGAGTTTTCAGAGCCCTGCAGGCTGCAGCCGTGTAGGAAGGTCTGCAAACAGGCCGGTCTTGGTGGAATTTCATCTGCTCTTTTAAAATTTACATTTAGCTCTTCTCTTTCTATTCTTTAAGTAAGATTACTTATTTTTTTGTTTTTTTTTGTTTTTTTGTTTTTTTTCTTTTACAGTAGTTTTCAGATTTATAGAAAATGTGGAAGACTACTACAGGAAGTTCCCATACCTCCCTCCAGGTGTCCTTTATCATTGAAATCTTCTATTAATGAACTAGGCACGGCTCTTTAAATTGAGACCACCATTTTAAACAAAAGCCCCCAGATCATGTGGATTTCCTTGGCTGTCTCAATTTTTTTTCTGTCCTAGAGTTTTGTGGCCCAATGACTCTCATATCTGCTAAGTTCCCCTACACTGGGTCATTTCCCAGACTCTCCTTGTTTCTGATTGGTCCTGGAAGACATGCTGCTCTGGCCCGCTATAGAACTCCTTCAGGTGGGGGATGACCACAGAGCCAATGTGCTGCTTCCGTCCACATCACCCCTGTGACTCGCTGCTGATGGGACCTGGGCCATAGGCTGAGGTGTGGCACCAGTGTCCCCTGGACAGGTAGGTCATTTTTGGGCACTTTACATACTACACCTTGGCAGGAGCAGTATGCCACACACTTAGGGGGGCATGCTCTGACTCTGTGGGTGATTTGGAATCCTTTGGTGGGATAACCCTCCTTCTCTCTGGTGTCTTATTTTTCAGCCGTTCTTTATAGCTGGGAAGACACCTGGCTGTGTGGCTCCTCCCCTCAGTCACGATCCTGTGCTGCCTCATTTTCATTACTGTTCAGCTACTTCAACTCCAGCTTTCTAGAGCTCTATGGTTGTACCACAGATATCTGCCATGCTCACATCCTGCCTTGAAGGCATTACTTCCTTTGCTGGCTTTTCCCGAGGCTCCCGGCTCCTCTGCGCACTGCGTGTCTTAGCGCCTCAATCAGCCGACTTCTCAAAAGTCCTGGTTTTCTTAATCAGAGAACAGAAATAGAAGCCAACACCTGGGCATCGCTACATCACCGCTGAGCAGCTCTTGCCTCCAAACTCTCAGCTGATAAACAAGGGAATGTTTAAGTCATTTAAAAATAATTTGTTCATTTAAAAACATCGACTTAATATTGACTCTGCCCTGGCCCCATGCTGTGTACTGAGAATGTAGAGAAAATAAATCAAGACCTTGGTATTAGAAAGGCCCTGCTCTTAGGTAACACAGATGAGGGAACTAAGAGGCTCCCAAGGACCATTCTGAAACACAGCTACTCATTCAGGCTGAGGAAGGGAGCTAGGAGGATGCTCTAGGGTCAGCTGTACATGGTTGCAAAGGGCAACATTCATGAGTTAATGAGAAGGTAGGAATTCAAGGGGCTGGACAAAGTTGGGGGGTGAAAGAACTTCTGGAAGGCCAGGAACAAGTACATGCACAGTGACTCATGCAGGAAACCCTGAGATGGTTACAGCCTCAATGCTATCCTGAGGACCACAGGATGAGAAAGATCAGGTCTGGCTCACACTTAGAGAAACCATAGAGATCTGGTAGAGGTAGGATCCTGGGCAGGAAGGGGAGGAAAACTCCCTGAACGTTAGCACAAAATCCATTCCTGTTGTTTTGGTTTTTGTGTTTTGAGCATATGTTGCTCAGTTCACAGAGCCATTTGGGGAGGCGGTGGAAGCTTCCAGAAACAGCAGCTAGTTGAAGGAAGTAGGTCACCATGGGAGGTCATTGAATGGCAGGAACCATTTGAGGCTTTTGAACAGGACCCCTGGTTCCTGCTGTTTCCTGTTCTACGGTGGTATGAATAGCCACAGAATCCTGTCACCAAGAACAGAACTGCTCTGTCACGGGGCTCCCCACCAGGGTGGAAGAAAGCCCTCTGAAAACACAAGCCAAGGTAAGGACAGCAGTTACAGTGGTACAAAGGTGACTAATCCTGGGTGAGGACCTGCTTCAACCAACACATGTATGTGCATTATGCCAGAGAGGTCTTTTTATTTTTAATAATCAGCGTTCTTTCTGTATATCCCACTAACCCTTTCACTGGTGAAGTGACCCAAGTCTACACAGGACTTTTCTTCATGACTGAGCATGTGGTACAATGTTGACGTCACGGGGAACAGGGGCAGGGTGGCTGGGGGAGTGACTCTCACAGGAGGATCTGGGACAGTGATGGACAGAACTGTGGTCAGACTCACCCAGCTCAGTCAGATGGGCTCATTCTACCGTGGGGAGCACCTGTGAAGGTTCCTTCAGAGAGGGCTGAGGATGCTATCGAGTAGGTCACATACCCAACTAGATTTTAGGAGATCTAGAGGTGTAAGAAGTGGGTATAAAAATACATGTATAAAGCTTCTCAGAGGAGTCTGTCATCCATGAGGAAGGCAAAAAAGAAAAAAGAAACTTGTATTTCGACTATAATTTACAGTGATAAACCAACCCGGTTATCTCACCCATGACCATACTGACAGGTCCCATGAGGTCACAGGAGAGTGGGAGCCAGCGGTTGAAGGGAGAATGTGATAAAGGAGCATGAAGGAGGAGAGGCCACAACTGAAAGGAAGGCTGGATAGCCCTGTGTGATTCATTCCTCTACACTCTTCAAGTAGACTCAGCATACTGCAAAACAGAGCTGCCCCCTAAGGAGTTCCAGCAATGTCAGTAAGGATGAATACCATAATCATTTCTAAGAAAGAACCAAAACACCATGGGCCTATGTGCCACAGATACACCATCTGGGCAAACACTACACACACACACACACACACACACACACAGCAAGAGAGAGAGAGAGAGAGAGAGAGAGAGAGAGAGAAGAACACACACAAACATACAAACACATCATACTTGGAAACATGCACATACGTGTTGTTCTTCACACACTATAGGCACATGCAAAGAAACCCTCACATATAACAGAGATATATGAATCATCACATATGAACACAAATGACAGACACACATGAATGCCTTGCATCTGCAAGCAAATAGACATGTGTACACATGTGCATGGGTCTATATAAGGACACATGGCAAAAAACCAGCAACATATATATACACACAAAAGCATGCACTCTCACAGACAGAAGTGTACATATAACCCCCTCCTCATCATCCCACTGTGAAAAACATAGATTCACACTTCAGAATAATCAGGATCAGGACAGCTGTCACTCATGTAGGCAGCGAGACTGGTATCTGTATTCCTGTACAAGGAGTGAGGCAGGATGTCTCTCTAGGAATCTTTGGGCCAGCTCTAGCCTGCTTTGGGACAATGGTCTTTTATCCTGTCACTTGTATTATTTTAATAAAACGCTGATTGGCTAGTAGCCAGGCAGGAAGTATAGGCAGGGTAACCAGGTAGGAAGTAGAGGCAGGGCAACAAGAACAGGAGAATTCTGGGAAGAGAAAAGAGTCAGTCTGCAGTCGTCACAGAAGAAGCCAGACATAGAACAACAAGAACGCCTCACTGATAAAAGGTACCAAGCCACATGGCTAACATAAACAAGAATAATAGGCTAGTTTAAGATGTATGGATTAATTAATAAGAAACTTGAGCTAATAGGCCAACCAGTTTATAATTAATGTAGACCTCTGTGTGTTTCTTTGGGGCTGAACAGCTGTGGGAATCCTCCGGGACAGAAACCTCTGCCAAACTAGTCCCCGATTCCACACTTAGAATAACTTCTCAATATCGGTGAGTGGGAAACCAGCATGCCAAGATGGAGGGTCCAACGCAGCAGGCTCTGCCTTGGTCCTCACCCCTAAGCAGGATACCCTTGAAAGCTTTAGCCCAGTATGTTAAGTTCAGGACATGAAGTCCAGTATGGATTCCTTTGTGGAGTCCCTCATTCACACTGCAAGGAGGCACATGCAGATTGGTCCCTTGGAGCAGACTGTACAGGTCTCAGAGGTTTGCACAACCCCAGCTACCTCTCTGTATGTCAGAAACCTGTTTACTGGAATATGTATCATGGGTGTCCTGTCTTACCAGACGGAGACAAGCTGGTAAGCAGGGCCCAGACACCCACTTTGCAAGAGTGAGCTGTCTCTGGCCTCAGAGCTCATGACCACAGCCAGGAGGTCAAAGTGATAATTACCCATCATCTCACTGTTGACTAGGTCCATGGGTCTGAGCTCGGGTCTCAGCTCCAGAACTCATGGTTGAGAACATGGGTCATCCTCCACATACCCTACCTACACCTAAGGGAGAGGGTGCTCAGCTATAAGACCACGTTGGCATGCTACCCACTCTGTGAGTCCAGAGACCCACGCCACCACTTCTGTTTTTCCTGACAGTGTCACCACCCCCCTCCCCTTGACCCCTAATGCTTCTTTGACTATCTAGCATTTTTCTTGATTTGGTCTCAAATGGTTGAATTCTTCAGTCACATTTAGACCAGCCCCTGTGGTGTCTGACTGGAACGTGTGTCCCCAGTCCTCTCTGTGACCCTTTCTGATATCCAGAGAACCTGAGCATGTTAAGCCACTATGTAGATGACCCGCTACTGCCCATATCAGTGGGGACAACCTTAGTGGTTCTAGATCTCCTCATGTTTCACGGAACCCAATGTTCGGTGTCCCCTGCTGTCATCAGAACCCTGAGAATGTAGACAGTGTTCCTCAGGACCCA